CAAAGAATGTTCTTTTCAAGATCACTCCAGATTTATACTTACAAGGATTGTAAGACCTTGAGCAAAGCGTAATTGAAACAGAAAGTTTCTTGTTCTTTTCTCTTTTTTCCCCCAACATTTCTGTCCGATTTTAATGCATGTGACTATCTTGTGGTATCAGTTCCTGTAACCAAAGCAGATGCATGTAAGTCAGTTTCACTACTTGAACTGACATGAAATCTGAGAATTGAATTTGTTTTTGTTTTGATAATTTGCCCCAGATTTAACATGCATATTGTGTACATGTAATTGTTTTTTTTATGCAAGTCGTCCCTTCACAAGGCATAAATGCCACTCAATGTAAGGGCTACCGTACAAGAAAAGAAAAGACAGAAAAAAAAGAGGATGATAGAAAATAAGACAATTAAGTTTAGTGCGTGAGAGATGCATGTTCACATTGTGTTTATACAGGGTGAGTTAAAAAGAAAGTGACCTGCACTCAAGATTTTTAAAAGCAATCAAATTAGATACACCAAAGAAGTATGTCTTAAAAGAGCATGTTCTTCCACTCATCTGAAAAAAACCCAATCACTAACATTGATCCATGTCATCCAAAGTTATGCATGTTTTACTAAAAAGAACCCATTTGTGTAGCTGTCCAAGGAATGGGATAATATTGCAAGCTAAATGAGCTAAGTGAGAATTACAGATTACACACAAGCATTCAAATACAAATGAAACTTTAATAATTGAAATCAAGACAATTTTTACTATCAGGTTGTGTGTTTTGAATATGAGAAACAAGACAACTCTTTTTTTCTTCGAAATACTGATAATGATTTTTGTATATTTTCCTTTGTAAGTTCTCGTTCATTCATGGAGGTGGGAAAACGATGGATGTTTCATTGTCCTCAATGGGTACATGTATTATCAGTTCACAGCACGGTAATTGATAAGTGGTGGACAGCCAAGTTTTTTATAGAAATAGACATGAATTGGGAATAGAGTATGCAATTTAAGTGAAATTTTCACAGTTAATAGTCAATAAGATGTACTTTATTCGTGTTTTTTTTTATTAACATAGAATGAGCCAAATATTTTAAACATTTCTTTCAAATTCGGTCACTTTCTTTTTTACTCATCCTGTAGTTGGTTCAACCGGTAACGTGGGAATAAACTTGATGAATACATCCTGAAAATGGCTTTGGGGATAATGACAGTATATTGATGTGATTGGATGGAGGAGCAGGTAGTTGGTAGTTGGTTTAAATTTGGTCTTGCTACTGATGACGGAAAGTAACATTCACTCAAAAGTCAAAACAACTTTAAGCACTAATTTTACTTTGTACAAAGGTATATAGATGTAGACAACAGCAAAAAAGAGGAGATTTTCTTTTCTATCAATTCTTGCTGTCGTTTTTCCCAAAATGAATTGTGTTCTTCCCTTGGATGTTGATTTATTTACCCATACAACAATTCTGTACTTCCCTTCTGTTTGATATTCAATTTGATCTGATTAGGAATGAAGTCAAATGGATGTTTTTATTCACAAATCATAATTTGATTTCTGTTCATCTGTTGCTTTTTTTTCTTTCCTGGGCGAATGTTGGTTGTCATCAGATCGGAGTTTTTTTCACTTTCTGGGGTTGTTGTCATTTGAAATCAGTCTCTGCCTTGCCTGACAATCAACCAACTGTTGGCTTGTGACAGATTTCACAGGGTAAAGTCTCAAGAAAGCATAAAATTAAAGAGTAATGTTATAAACAACCGGCAGTATTTTACAGCTCTACATTTAGGAGCAATTTTGTATTTTTAGGGGGTGTGCAAATACGAGTAGTAAAGGAACCAGGTACCCTATTGAAAAAAATAAACAGGTTCCTGGGTAGCCATTAAAGAAACCCAATGCCAAACATGCCAAAATTCAAATCTCGGAAGTTGCTGTTGAGATTGTTTACTACAACTGCATCGGCACATCAGTACAGCAACACCGCGTTCCCACTTGAATTGGAAAAAGGTGGATCAAGATCCGGCATTTTGGTGTGATCGTTATCTTACCGCAACGAAACCGCAAGCCACGTTCCCACGTATGCTTGATCCACCTTTTCGAACGGAAATGTAGAGTTCAAAATGTCACTGAGTTCGGAATTATGTGCCATCAGTGGGAGTGCCAGTGTTACATGCTAGGATGGGTCAGTTTTCAAACAGCGCTATCAGAATTCACCTACAAAAATTGCGCGAATTCCCCGACACAAATCACGGATCGGTAGGATCCTTGCGTTCATAGATTAATTGGTGAAATTGAACAGCGCCGCTCATTGTGTGACATCACGGCAAAAACCAATGCATTGATAAGGGATTCCCTGGTTCTGAAGCTTCTCATTGTTAAAAATGGTCACATGATGTAGTACGACATCATTTTCCAATTTTCTGTAATTAGTACTACAGATTTGTCACCTCCGAAAGTACCGTGTTATCATCGCATACTCGTAAGCTTTTCTCTGATTCTGTGCCAAAGTGACGTGGTTTGGTGAGTGCGGACTAAGAGGTATTTATGGATGAAAAAATAGGTAAAATTTCATGAATAAAAAAGGTTTATAAATGGATGGATATGCAACGAAAATTGGCTGCATGCATCACACAGTGCTAGCTGGTAGTTCGGCGGTTGTTTATTGTGCATGTTGTGTACGTTGGAAATATTTTCACATGAGCTTCACGCCTGAAAATGTGTTTCTTCGTTCATGACATAAGACCACAACATTTTCATGCCACGCGTGCACCGGGCGGATGTTAACAGGTCAAGTTGCCGGATCAGACCCACCTTTTGCATTCCCATCTGATTGTGATCCTCCAATTGCCGGATCTGATCCACCAATTGGGGGATTTGTATCCTGGTCCAGAGGTGGATCAAAAAGGTGGATCTTATCCTGATCCACTTTATGAGCTCCGTGCGCTACCAAAATAGGGCACCCTTTTACCTAGCAACGACGTCCCAAGGGCGGGTGATATCGCTGGTTGACGCGCACCGTTCCTTGTGTGTTACGCGCGTACACCAGGGGATTTGTTCTATGTACACGCAGTGGCCGCGCTTTGCAGCAAATGAATTGCAGTCAGGCAAGATGGCATCGGTCGGTCACCCCCAACTGAACTTCCTTCGCCGGTGAGGGGGTACTTGTGAACGGAGCGGATAACGGTCAGCGTTCCCACTACACACAATTGCCGGATCTGATCCACCAATTGGGGATCTGATCCGGCAATTTGGCAAAAGGTGGATCAGATCCCCCAATTGGTTGGTGGATCAAGTGGGACCGGGGTCCAAGATACATGTACAGCGAGCTTTATAGCTTTACGGTTTTGTAAACTGCAGTTTAGTAACTAAGTAATTCTTGTAACTAAGTAATTTGTAAAGTTGGTTGTGGCCGGGTACTACTCCTAGAACTATGAGGCTTCACGTAGTGGAGCCTCATAGGTTCAGAACCCCGCAAAATTGTTGTCAGCACAAAACACTAATTAAGTACAAAAACGTCCATCCCAACGAAGCCGTTTCCCACAGAACCGCTGCACAGTTTGCCCCTAAACTCCGTACAATACCTCATGACATACTCACGCTATGTGCACCCAACAAACATCGGTGGATTCTGTCGGTTTTTTGCAAAAATGATGGAAAATATGCCCTTTCCGCACTGAGCCAACCTAACACTTGAAATTTGCACGCGCGCAGAATGATCGCAGTCATTTTCGTACTATTTTCGTACGTACTCGCACTTGTATGCATGCGCATACTATCGTTCCGCTCCTACACCATACCCCCCGCGGCGCGCTCCGAGCGATCGAACCCGAAAATGACTGCGATCATTCTGCGCGCGTGCAAATTTCAAGTGTCAGGTTTCATAGTTCTAGGAGTAGCCGGGTACCTGATCCCATAATAATCTAGAACCGGTTCCTGACATCGACGGTCGGGTACTCAGGTACCCGGTTCCGATGCACGGCCCTAGTATATTTTGCATTTTTTTGGTTTCCTGATTGAGCTTATCCTGTCAAGGGTAATAAATGGGTTTTGTATTAATAAGGAAAAAATACAAATTTGAAAATTCTGAAATACATGAATATAGGCCTACAGGGTAAGGCAAAAAAAAAGTGACCAAATTTGAAAAATATTCACTATCAATATTTCTGGGGAAAAAAGAGTGGACTTGTTCTTCTTTTTCATTACACAAAATCTAATAGTATCAATAATGCTTCAGTCTTTATTTCAATTATTAAAATCTCATTTGTTTTTGAATGCTTGTGTGTCATCTGTAATTCTCACTAAGCTCAATAGATACCGGTACATGTACCGATACCAGTGGTCCTGATTCCAAAATAGGTTCTTTTGAGTAAAACATGCATTTAACTTCAGATGACATGGATCAATTTCAGTAACTTTTTTTACGTTGAGTTAATGAACATGCTCGTGTAAGACCTACATTGGTGTATCAAATTTGATTGCTTTCTAAGGAAACAAATTTGAATCCGGGTCACTTTCTTATTTTACTCGACCTGTACAACACTATCGAATTCATATCACCCAACCCAAAATGTCATCTTATAAATAGTTGGGTTGCAGTACCTGCTGCTAGGTCAGATTCAAACCAGCCAGCTAAACCCTGGCAAGCTGTGTGGTCGAGTGGTAAGCTGTGTGCACTACATGTAGTAAGCAGGTGGTCCTGGGTTCGAGTCTCAACCGAGTATAGAATGTGCATTTTTCTCTCACAAGCACTGGGACAACACTCGGAGTACACAGTGTCTATAGTACGTCCGTGACGGGCAAAAAACCAACACTGAAAATATTGCAAATTGGTGACTAAGTAATTATAAAAATGTCATCCTCCACTTCAATGCAATCAATCGTGACAATGAGAATTTGACAGATACAAACAATGGGAGTCTGTGACTAGACTAGCCAGTGCTGGGTACCAAGATAAAAAGTGACTGTGAACAGGCAAGTCTCGCATGCTCAATTGTGTACCCTTTTTAATTTACAGCAACCGAAGAAGATGTTGACTGGTCTGCAACTGAAACCCAAGAAAGTCAAGGCAGTCAACAAGGCAACCTATGCTTTTGTGACATTCAGGTAAATTAATGCAAACTCTCTGTTGAATTTGGCTGCCAAGGTCAGTTCTTGCTTGTCAAATCATGTGGGCATCTACATCGAGTCAAGTGTCCAGGTTTGAAAAGATGGTAAACTGAAACTTCGTAAATAAATCTGTTAAAGCTACAGTCCATCATTTGCAGCTATCCCAAAAGTAACTGACATAATTATTGTTTAAAACCATACTTGGTTGAAAGATAGTAAGGGGACTAAACTCCCTGTGAAATTATTCTTTCTGGCAAGCTGTCATTTTGAAGAAATCAACAAAAGAAGGCCTTTCCAACGGTGCAATTGGCTCAGTGAGAACGTGTCTCAGCTGCTGAATTCAGGCCCAATTCAAAATATAATTCAGCAACATTTGATTTGAAATTGAGATCCTACAATGTTGTTTTTCTTGAAATATACAGCTAAAGCTGAGCTGAAACTTCATTAGGTTAATAGTTGTTAAGCACCCTTCTTTAGATCTTGAGCACTTTTGTTGCTTCAAACGAACAAAATGCACAAATTACGAATGATGGACTACATGTATACCTTTAAGTAAAATGTAGCAAATTTTGCAACAAATTTGCTCTGAATCAAATTTGATACAGTTTAGAGCAATTCAAGCATTATGTTATGTTCGTGGCAGAGATTTGAAAAGCTCTGTACCTAAAAATCTTCTTTCTTATTTTTACATCTTACACATCCATGATCTAGTTATAGTCCAGGAGATTACAAACTAGGAGTCTTGGATCAAGATAGGAATCATTAATTAGATATCACGGTTAACTGGCTCTGTCTTGGACGTTATACACTTCCTTTCATAATGCTAGAATTCCCCATGTGTGTATTTCTTTTTGTTCTGACAAGAGTCACAAAGGAGGTGTAATCTATTTTAAGCTGTACTTAATCTTCACAAATGTCCAATGTAGCTTAATTTTTCTATTCTTGACAAAATGGAGGGAAAAAGGTTTTGTTTTTGAACTCCCCAGCAAAAAGTGAATCTCTTAATTTATCTTTCATTTAATGGTGATTATTGCAAAGACTGTGCCATGGGTTTACTACACAGAGTTGGAAATTGGAGTGTTCAGGAAACTTGCTAGCACAAATAACCAGCAAGATAGGGATGAATGTTTGAGACATGAAAGAAAAACCTGCCGCCAGAAAATTCTAGTCAGGAGTGAGTGACATGGGAGCTTCTTAAAGAGTGAAAGTTGAGTGTGCTGACGTAATGAAACACAATTCAGAGTGCAGGGAAACTTGATACAAGTTTTAGTTTTGTTGTTTGGATAATTAAGAAAGAAATTTAAAATACAGATACAAATAGTCACTGCATCAACATAGCATTGAAACCACACTCTCCTCCTTGAAATGGAAAGTGTACTTAGACTTCTGTTTTCAATTGTTATACTTACAAAGCATCCACCAACCTTTCTTCTTGGTTTGGGGAAAAAATGATCCACTATGCTGGCAGACTGGTTCCTGGTCCATGCATTATCGATACTGATTGTGGGGTGGGAACCAGGCAGCCTCTAGAGAACAGAAATAACTTCTGGCAGCCAATAATTTTAAATCGTAATTTAAAGTAATAATTCAGTAACTAAACATTGGCTGTTTGTTTTTTGTTTAAAAGCGAATAATTGTTATATTGCTAGAAAAATAGCAATTCAGAAAAGAGTATACAGTGTTTATACATCGGCGAAGGGCAAAACCTAATATGGATTTACATCACTCCAACACAAAATTCCATCTTATGAATAGTTAGATGCGGTACTCACTGCTATGTACAATGTACATCAGATTCAAACCAGCCAACGGATCCCGCAAGCTCGGTGTTTTAGGTGGTGAGACGTCTACACTAGAAAGCAGGAGGTCATGGGTTAAAGTCCAACCCGAGTGATCTTTTCTAACTTTCACTTGGGAGGTAACACACTGAGTATACAGTGTTTATACCTCAGTGAAGGGCAAAACCAAATATTAATATAGAAAAGAAATCTCATTTTTGGGATGAAACTCGAAAACAGCACTGGGAACGCAACTTTAAATCCTCCCCCCCCCAACACAAACATTCCATCTTACAAATATTTACTGGTATCTCCTTTCCTGGTTACTTTGGTTGCTTGCGATGGATTAACTGATGGAAATCCAATTGTTTGTTTCATCCCTCAGCTGCCAAGAAGATAAGGAGGAGGCATTGAAAGTACTCAACAGACACAAATGGATAGGACAAGTACTCAAAGCCAAGGTATTCACAAAGTCACTTGTGGTTTTTACTATTGGCACTTGCTTCTGTTGGCACTTTCAATGAATTTACATAACTGATCAACAGTCTTAGTATTGGCTACCAGTGCAAGGGGTCTCGTGGCTGCTATTGCTGTGGTTACAGGTTCACGTTCCTGCAATGACTCTTTTCCTGTAGCTTGCCAAGCTAGTTGAGGACCCGTACACTAAGAGCCTCGTTCTGAAGAGAAGCCAAGAGGAATCTGATGGAAACACCCAAGAAGCTAAGAGAAGGAAGGAGGAGGACAGCTTACCAGTAGAAGAGAGGTGAAGACATTGAGATAGAATGCAGGGTTGGGCTGGATTCGAACCACCAACATAGAAATGTACTGCAGTTCTAAACTCAGATATCATGAATACAATTGGTGCTATTTGTTTGGGTCAAGTATTTTGTATTGACCCCAAATTTACCCAAACCAGCATCCTGAAATTGTGTCTGCCATATCTCAAAAAGGCTAATAGCAGTTGAACCTTTTACTATTACTCAAACTTGATTAAGACTCTGAAATACTGAGCACAATTTTTTCATCCTTTTCCAATCTGCAGGTTAAACAACACAGTGACTCCACTATGGAACCAGCTGTATGAACACCAGGGAGTGTCTTGTCTTGATGCATGGCCAGTGTATGGAAGGACGGCAACCGGCATGTCCGGTGTGTTCGGGGTCTGAGACTGGTTCCTATTCAGTAAGAAGTTTTGATGTTTAGGTCTGTTCCCATTGTCTCTTAGAATTGGGTCGTTTATGTAGGGGAGTTGTCAATGTTAATATCTAGTTCTGTCCTTCACCAATTTAAATTTGAAAGCACTGTATAGGCATACTAAGTGTTTTCTGGAGATAACTAGCAAGAAATTCCCTAGCTTCTTGGGTGAGATTTGCACATGTTTTAACCACTTGATAACCAAGCATATCAAAGTTTGTTGGATAAATATTCCTGACATTGAAGATGATGTGTATATACTTTGGATTTGATGATTTCTGTCATTGGTGGGATGTGAACCCAAACCCCCTGCTTTTAGAAACTCTCTCATTCAGGGGCAGATTGAGACCAACTGTCCCTGGACTTACTGGCAAATGGGGTCTCACGGCATAAACACCAGGGGGTGGGGATAAGGGGTGGGGGTTTATCCCCACCCCTCCCATGTTTTGACCAGGGGTGGGGGATGGGCAATGGCATCATGATGTGTTGAGGGAAAATGCTGCTCATTGAATCCTGTCAACATGACTTTACAAAGAAGTTGAATTATTTTTGAGAGAAGCAAAGAGTAACCCGTGAAAATATTTAATCGCCTTGAACATCCTATTAAAGACTTAAAACGCAGAGGTGGATTTCATAAAATCAAAAACTGATTTTTCAAAGGCACCTCAAAAATTACATATTTACAGTGGAAAATGTTGGGTGTTTCATATGTTAGTGCCAATATGTGTACATTTTCACACTAAAAAAGTAATAAAAGAAACTTGTTCTTTTAAACATACACGAAAAGCTCATTAAAGTAACAACTAACATAGGCCCTAATGGGATTTGTAATTTTTGAACCACTTGCATACATACATTGAATGAGTTCCAGCTGTTCCCTTCACTGATAGTTGGTTGCAATCTGCTATGGGCCTGCACATTACTGATGTCATGGCAGGTTCAGGTATTGGCAATCTGCTTAACTAAAATACATTTGAACTCCAGCATCTTATGCTTTCAATATTTCTTGACATCAAATCTCCTTGGCATTTCAGTGAAGTAAATGTATGAAAAGCCTTAAATCTGCTCTACAGTTTAAACACTACACAGCTCCCCTTACGTGGATGGCTTGCACTCATCAGTTACCAGAAAACATTGTTCTTGACAACTTTCCAACGATTGACTCCCTTCTGGTTCTGGATGTGCATACTGCTGCCCTTGTGCTGATGGCTCGGTGCCAGTCAGCCCAGGACATTGTTCCTGAGTACTTGCAAGTGACTGCTGGCTCTCTGCTGGTTCTCTGCTGGTTCTGGATGTACACACTGTTCCCCTTGCATGGATGGCTTGCAGTCAGTCAGACTAGAGCATTGTTCCTGATGAGAACTTGCAAGCGCTGGGGTCCCTGCTGGTTCTGAATGTACCTCAACATGCACTTGAACATGCTGCTGACTGTGCATGGGTGCCTTGCTGCTGCTTGGCCTGGAACATTGTTCTTGACAGCTGTCCAGTGACTGCTGACTTGCTGTGTGTTGTGCATGCCTTTGGCTTGGTGGCTTGCTGCTGCTTGGCCTGGCAGCACGGTGCTTATTGACATTTTCTGCCTGTGGAATCACACGAAGCTCAATCTGCTTCCCTGGCTGCGATGGTCGGCTGGGATTCCGTCTTGGGCAGCAACAACAGCACAGTTTGAGGAATGAGAAAGCCTTGACTACAGCTTCACGAAAGTCAGCGTTTGTGGCACTGTAGACCAGGGAATTAATTGAGCTATTGATCAGTTGCAAAATTTCAATGCATATAGTCAGAATAGTTATTGTCTCTCCAAGTTCCAGATTGGCAACAATCTGAGAAGTTGAAGTATACTTTGATGCCACTACATCTACATGAATTGTCATAATTGCAGCTGCAGTGTGCAGTGAGTTCAGAATGAAAAAAACAGCAGTGTTGATGATAACCATGCTGTTGGCACCCAGAGTCCTGCTGATATCTTTGCTGCCCGAGATTTAGAGGCTTTTTCCTTCAATGTCAGAGGATTTCGTACTGCAGAGAATCTCTCAGCTGCTATGGTAACCACAAAGAAATTAGAAGTAGCAATGAATGTGTATAGGACACTTGATATTGCCTTGTTGACCAATAAGTTGGACTCTATAGGTGGAAACACTGTAGATATGAAGTAAGTCATAAGGCAGAGGGAGTCAGCCACAGCCAGATTGGATAAGTAGATGTTGATGATTGTACGCATGGACTTCACTCGAATGACTGTGAAGAGAAAGACAAAGTTTAAGCAGAGGCCGATTGGTGCAATGATTTCACCACATAACCATGTTATTTGATTAACTCTTTCTAGACTCAGGTAAAAGTTCTTACGATGCTTTTCAACTTCAGTTATCCACCCAGTTGATGGAGTGGAGCTGTTTTGGTAGCCATCACCCATAGTTCATGCACAATGTAGCATTGAGCTCCGTGAGCTACATTCTATTCAGATGCAGCAAAGAATGTTCTTCTGTATTTCAAAATCACTCCAGATTTATACTTAGAGGGATTGTAAGACCTTGAGCAAAGTGTAATTGAAACAGAAAGTTTCTTGTTCTTTTCCTTCTGTTTCCCCCAACATTTGTGTCCGATTTTAATGCATGTGACTATCTTGTGGTATCAGTTCCTGTAACCAAAGCAGATGCATGTAAGTCAGTTTCACTACTTGCACTGACATGAAATCTGAGAATTGAATTTGTTTCAGTTTTAATAATTGGCTCCAGATTAAACATGCATATTGTGTACATGTAATTGTTATTTTATGCAAGTCGTCCCTTCACAAGGCATAAATGCCACTCAATGTGAGGGCTACCGTACAAGAAGAAAAGACAGAAAAAAAGAGGATGATAGAAAATGAAGACAATAAAGTTTAGTGTGTGAGAGATGCATGTTCACCTTGTGTTTATACAGGGTGAGTTAAAAAGAAAGTGACCCGCATTCAAGATTTTTTTTTACTTAAAAAGCAATCAAATTAGATACACCGAAGAAGTATGTCTTAAAGAGCATGTTCTTCCACTCATCTGAAAAAAACATTGATCCATGCCATCCAAAGTTATGCATGTACAAAACGTTTGACTAAAAAGGACCCATTTGTGTAGCTGTCAAAGGAATGTGATAATATTGAAAGCTAAATGAGCTGAGTGAGAATTACAGATTACACACAAGCATTCAAATACAAATGAGATTTTAATGATTGAAAGCAAGACAATATTTACTATAAGATCTATATATCTTTTTGACTCATCCTGTAGTTGGTTCAACCGGTCACGTGGGAATAAACTTGATAAATACATCCTGAAAATGGCTTTGGGGATAATGACAGTATATGGATGTGATTGGACGGAGGAGTTGGTAGTTGGTTTCAATTTCGTCATGTTACTGACGACGGAAAGTAACATTCACTCACAACATCTTTAAGCACTAATTTTACTTTGTACAAAGGTGTATAGATGTAGACAACAGCAAAAAAGAGGAGATTTTCTTTTCTTTCAATCCATGCTGTCTTTTTTCCCCAAATGAATTGTGTTCTTCCCTTGGATGTTGATTTATTTACCCATACAACAATTCTGTACTTCCTTTCTGTGTGATATTCAATTTGATCTATTAAGGAATGGAGTCAAATGGAAGTTTTTATTTACAAATCACAATTTGATTTCTGTTCATCTGTTGCTTTTTTTTTCTTTCCTGGACGAATGTTGGTTGTCATCTGATAAGATTTTTTTTTTCAATTTCTGGGGTTGTTGTCATTTGAAATCAGTCTCTGCCTTGCCTGACAATCAAGTTGATGTTGTCATATTCTCAGTTTTGTTGATGGAACAATTTCTTTGCAAGACAATTTGCAAGGGCTAACTACTTGGTCTAACTACGTGGTGTCATGATTTAGTAACGGTTTGTGGTACCACTATGTAGAAGTCTCTTTTGGGAAGATATGTGGCTCTGAAAAGAACCGGTGTGTTCTTTTCAGAACCACACATCTTCCCAAAAGAGACTCTACATGCCTACATGGTGTTACTGCAAACTGCAAACCTTCACTAGAACACTGTCTTCCACAAATGTGACAATTGGGAAGGGGAAAGTGTGCTTGTCTATTTTTTATTTGGGGGGAATGTAATCCCCGACCCCTTTTCTTCGCTTGACATCCCCCCCCCCCCCCCCCGCACCTGATACTATGTAAATGTTTCAATAATTACATTGTTTATGTTTCAGTGATAGATATAAAGTGTTTGAGGACCTACGTGGATCTGTTTGGGCCTACAACGTCGCCCATTCACTGAGCGGATTCGGGATTACCCATCGAGAACTCGAAAAGGTAGGAGAGACCAAGGCCAGTTTCTTTGGTAAAATTATCCAGTCAGGTAAGACAAACATCTGTGAAAACTCATTTGCATTGGTCCACATCTCAGTTCTATGTTGATGATTGTGAAATTTGAAAATGTGAATCAGAAAGAAAGAATCAACTTCAGTACAATTGGTTTTCATCCATTTAATTATTGCTATTCTTTTCATTTATGTACTTTTTGTTGCCCTGGCCGAATTATTTTACAAACACTGTACACTCGAGTGTAGTCCGAGGGCTTGCACGGAACAAAAACACAAGCTTTCTTCGGGTTGGACACAAACCCACAATCTTCTGCTTCCTAGTGCAGATGCATTAACCACTCGACCACTGAGCTTGCTGTTGCAAGCTGGCCATTCTGAGTCTGATGTAGCAGTGCTTAACCCAACTTTGTGTGTGTAGGAAGTCATTAGTTTGAGTCCCACCTAAGCCTTCGGACAACACTAAGTGTACAGTGTTTACAAAATATGTCTGCGAAGGGCAAACAAAAATCCAATATAAAAAAAGATCATTTACATCTCGTAATTGCCCAGGTTCCCATCCAGATGATCCTTGATAAGACAGCAGACAGTACAGGCATCGACTCCAACACCCTAGCCTTACAGATGAAGGCCCATCCTGAGCTGAGGGACAAGCTTCATGTCGTCACCTCATGGGGGCCTTTGCCTGTCTACCCTGGGGTGGTCAACTCAGAATTACCTGGTAGGTACAGTGGACTCTGTGACTAAGTACCAGTGTTGTAGTCAGGTCACCAACGTCGAGTTTGAGTCCGAGTCCCGAGTCACAAGCCTCGAGTCCAAGTCCGAGTCACGAGTCACTTGTTTTTAGTTGTTCACCAAACTAATCATTTTTTTAAAATTATTTTTCAATCATCCATTCTGTCTTTTATGTAAATCCCAGTGTATATAGTTGTGTGTGTACATGTTGTTTAGACCCAAAATGTGTTTTCCTTTTAATTCCTATCCATAAAAAAATCCTCCCTCGTCCCTTCCCTCCTCGTTATTCCTCAATGATCCTTTCCCATCCCTACGTTAGGTTTTTTCTTTTGATGAAATTACGTGACTCGAGTCCCAAGTCACCAAGTGCGAGTTCGAGTCATCATCCTCGAGTCCGAGTCTGAGTCATTTTCCAATGTGACTCGAGTCGAGTCTGAGTCACAAAAAATGTGACTCGAGTCAAACTTAAGTCCGAGTCCTGGACTCGAGTCCTACAACACTGCCAAGTACTCCCTCTTAAGAAAAGTGGAACTCTTGAACGCATTGTCACCCAACACCTTGCGCTGATGTTAAAGCTATAGTGCATCATTTGCAGCCATCTGAAAAGTAACTGGCGTAATTATTGTTGAAAACAAACTTGGTTGAAAGATAGTAAGGGAACTAATCTCCCTGTGAAATTGTTCTTTCTGGGAAGCCTCTTTCTGGGAAGCTCTCATTTTGAAGAAATCAATGAAAGAAGGCCTTTCCACGGGCGCGCGGTTGCTATAATTCGTTGGATCAGTGCGCGACGTCGTGTATAGCTGCAATTCAAAACTATTCAAAACATGATTCAGTAACTTTTGATTTGAGTCAAACACGGGAACCTTTTCACCACAGGAATCTGCATGCCAAATAAAACTCTAATCAAATTAGGTTCTGCCCTCCCCGACGTATAAGCGCTGTATGCTCAGTGTGTTACCTCCTGAGTGAAAGTTGGAGAAAAAAAAATGTTGGCGAGGGGCAAAACCTAAATTGATTTTTACATCACCCCAACGGAAAATTCCATCTTATGAATAGTCAATGCGATACCCGCTGCTATGTACATCAGATTCAAACCAGCCAACCAATCCCCTTAGCTCGGTGGTCGAGTGGTAAGACATCTACACTAGAAAGTAGGAGGTCATGGGTTCGAGTCCCACCCGAGTGATTTTGTCCAACTTTCACTCGGGAGGTAACACACTGACCGTTTATACCGACCATTTATATGTCGGTGAAGGGCAAAACCTAATTTGATTTACATCACCCCGACACGAAATTCCACCTTATGGATACTTAATAAAATTAGTGTTACATACTTTGCGTAAAGATATTTGTTGTTTGGAAGAGGGAAGTACCTCAGACAGTCAGACCACCGTTTAAACAAGAGATCTGACCTGACACGTGTACATTAGGACATTCAAGGGCCTCATGATTCTGATATTTAGTCCCCCTGCAAATATTTAAATAATGTTGAACCCTGCGTCATATGTAGATCTGACAATCTACGTGCTTGCCAGTATCAGACTGTAAACGGCCTGCAAGAGCCTGCCATTTTGAGTCTGCGTTTAGTTTACCCACCATTTTGCTCGTCTCATTTTGAATATTCTTTGGTCATTTTTCCTCAGAGGATCTCAAGACATCTATCTCCAGGCATCTTCTCAACATGCATCTCGACCCCAAATGGCAAGCTCAACTGAACCAATACATGGTGTCCAAATTTGTGCCGGTTACACTGGATCAGTGCAAAGGTTTTATTAAAATAAAAATGTTCCAATAAACCAAAAAGGGAAACCGACTATTAGTGTATTATAAAATATGTTGCATTATTATGATATAACAATTGTAACAAAATAAGGGGACAGTGTTAAAAAAATCATAACAACTCTTTGTTGAAATCAGTACTCATGAATTGTAACTTGTCATGATGCAATATTGTGCTCTAAATTAATAATGCAATATACATATTTTATTATGTAAACATGTTTTTTATATATTTTACTGAAACCACAGAGACTAGTCGTCAATGTACAAGCTATTGTCACATCTTGCTGTGTTCAATGAGTTCGTTAGCAGGGCTCAAATTTTGTGTGAAAATTGTGTGGATAACAGTACCTGAAAGTATTATTTACTGGACCAATGTACATTCACAGATAAAATTGAAACACTGTTAACTCAAAGCCATGTGTATCATATGCAATGACCCGGAGAAGCATTGATTTAATGACAAAACTCTGTTCAAAGTCAAGATAGGAGTGGTACCAAATACCCTTTGAAAATATTCCAGCTGAAATTGTTTCGTGTGGATGTTGAAAGAGGGTGTCCACGGCACATTTTAACATTATGTATTAGCAATGGAATCCAGTTACAAGACACCCCAAAAAAGTGAATGTATTTCCTCAGTTTTCTTAAAATGTATACTATCCAATCAACCTTCAACAGGTTAGTTGTCATGCACCCTGCTTAAGATTTTTAGCAATTTTGTTGCTTCAAACGAAAGTAAAGGCACAAGAAGCAAATAATCATATGTACCTTTTAAGAAAGTTGCAGTCATTAGGATTATACAAGAAGTGTATTTCATTGCTTCTGATGGTAAATGGGAAACATCAAATGTGAACATTTTTAATAGTCAAATGAGTCCTGCATTTGTAGGATTAATCATGATCATGATAATCTTGAGACCAGATTTAGACAGCACATGCAATCATGAAAGGCATGTATTCATCTGTGTGCAATGTGTAATTATAAAACATCAAGATGAATGTTTATTCCCTTTGTTTTAAGTTGCCAAATCTTCCAAAGAATTTATATACAATTTAGAAGTGTTTTTGTCATTTCGTATAACCTTCGAGAGTGAAATACATTTTAACTTCAAAACAATGTGTGTTACAGTGAAGTGCAAATTTGCCTCGTTAAGATTATTTATGCAAATGCGATAAGGTTTTCTGTCATGGATGTTGGTATGAATTTAGATGATGTGGATATGATTCACCTACTTTAATGTAATTGTGTTTGTCATTTATAATACATGTACACCATATAATTATTCAACTTATCAGAATTTATGTGCTGTAAATTTTGGATTTTTGTGACTTGGTTTAAAAATTAACAGTCACTTCTTTCATATTTCAAAAAACTATATTTCCAATGGCAAATTATTAAAGTGGATGCGGTGTTTAAAGGGAATCATACTTTTTATTCTATAAATGTTCTATTTTTCTGGCAACATGATGTTAGAAATGAACTCTTTTGAACTTTTAATAAAATTGTATTTTCAATGGCAAATTTTATATTAAATACATGTACATGTAGATCTGAGCCAATTTACTTGTTTCAGTCAAATTATTCTGTGTGAAAGATTGACCATTTTTTTCCTCTTGCTTATGTCATTGTGTCACGCTTAATTTCTTGTTTACAGAATCCCAATGTTTTCAAGTAGATATCATGGCTGATGGAAAGTACTCAAGAAAAATAATCAAATCCAAATTTAAAATATCTTGAAAAATTTAAGTATCTTCCTTTTCTTGTACATATATTCAATGGGGAGTGCCCAGGGGAGTGCCGATAAAAGCCTACAATCGTGCACACTACATTACCTAATAGTGTACAGGGGCGGATCCAGGAATTTCGCAGGGGGGGGGGTGTTACATCAGCCAAAAAATCCGATGTAAACAGGTGTTTTTTTCCGGACATTTGGCCTCCGTAAAATTAAAAACTAGGGGGGGGGGGGGGGCTGGTTCCATATTTTAATAGGGGGCGCTGTTCAAATTCGACGATTAGTAACGCTAGATTACAGACTGGTGTGCCGTATTTTGAACAGGGGTACATTATACCAGTATAATTTTTTAGGAATTTGTATGATAATGGTTTTGTTTTATTTTTTTTATTTTTTTTTTTTACCCCAACCCCCCTCCCTCTAGATCCGTGCCTGGTGTAAAATTGATGGCCCCTGCTCACAACTGTTTTTTTTTTAGGGGGAAGGGGGGGGGGGGGGGGGGGAGAGACCGTTCGAATGTAACATCACCTTAATTCTAACATTTGCCACCGTCTTTTTGTACGGAATTCCTTTTTTTTAATGGGGGGGGGGGGTCTCAACAAACGTTTGGGTGCTCCCTGCCCCCCCCCCCCCCCCCCCCCACACTGGTGGAACCACATCTGAGGGTGAGTTCCCTCAACTGACTCGGCCCATTTCGGTTCTGTAGGCCACATTTCTTGCGTTTACCACAATTTGGTAAAAAAATAATGGACCCAGGATATTATACATATACTTAAACACAAAAACATACATACATAATCTTTACACCGTTCTAAAGGAACTTTGTTCTACTTTTTTTCATTTTGAGGTAGCATTTTTGGTATCAGGGGTCAATCTCTCTGGGGGTAATCTTGCCACCAAGTCTATGTTAAAAAGTTTCTACCGGTAATTTTAACAGCGCCCTCTAAACAAATCTTTGAGAGTGGTGATTTTGAAATTTCGGACTAGCTTCGGACTCGGTGTCGTAATCATTTCCACAACTAATTACATGTCCGATACAAGCAAGTCATAACATTTGGGCTGTCAACAACAAGAAATGTTCAAAGCAAAACAAAGACCGATACCAGTATATCCCGAAAGTGACAAAATAACATCGCTGGAAGTCAAAGCTAAATCTTTCAAACGAAACCAATGTTTACGAAAATTCCCAAGGTATGACGTATTGCCCACGTGAGGGCGCATACAGGTGGTGTTGTTTTGTGATACTGACAGGTGCAAAATGAATGATTGCAATTCACACGTGGTGGTTTGTTGTCATGTCAGTGCTGCATGCACATGTCACAATGAAAAGACCCTGTACTCAAGCCCTTCTCGCAAGTGTCGTCGCCATGTTGGGTCACTTTCTCCGGATGTTTTCATGGTTGTTTCTCTGCTAATTTGTGAGGTACTTGGTTCAGTACGTCCGCCGTCAACTCGATTTTCTTAACCCCTGAAAAACTGCAAGAAGTTCATGGCCTGGTCGTGAGTATTTAACAGGGACAGAATCGTATTACCAAGGTTGCGATCATGGCGATGTGCATTCACAAAGCGCGGGGTTTGCAATACAATTTTCCGTAAACCGTAGATCTAAAATTTTCACATAATCCTATTTAAACATTTTGGATTTTGAGCATGTTAAGGAAGTGACAGTTAAGCTAGTGGTTTCTCACGTTCGTCATGTGCATTTTCCCATGTTGAATAACTTGAAGTGTTCAACATATTTAATTGGCCTGATCGAAGATCAATCTGATAATTGACAATTATTATGTACCAAAAACAGGGCTGATGGCTTTCAGGGACTTCATTCATCCTTGCAACATATCTCTCTCTCTGTTATTTTAGTCTCTATTGTATTGGAGTGGTGATGTGAAGTAGTTTTCTACAGGAAATAATTAATGCTGGGTTCCTTTATTTTCAATAGGACCCAAAGAAATATTGATTGTGAAAAGAATGCAAAAGTCATATCCGTCACACCTTTTGTGACGGAAATGACAATTATTATATTACTTGGCTTTTGGAGGTATAATTACCTTTTCAAGTTGTTTACTTTACAAATTTGGCAGTAGGTACATATTGAGAAATACACGGGGACATGCATTTTGAGGGGGTTTTGAGGGAGTATTGTAAAGAATGAGCATCTTGTCCATTATGTTAAAGAGTTTTTAACACTGCACATAATAGGAGTCGTGTTAATTTCACTGCTCAGAAATCTTATTTTCATTCTATATTTTTTCGAATTATAGTGCCTTAAAGTGTCGGGACATGAAAGTAGACACTTGATACTGAAGAATGACCCATAGGCCCCTTTTTAATAAAAACTTGCTGGGAGTGTACATGCGGGAAGAAATTCATGATAAACTATCTCCAGCATTTAGGATAGAGATAAACCCACGAATGATTCTAGCGTAAGGTTGATGCATTGGCAGTTGTACTGTTTAACTATGTTCACTATAGGGTGTCAGTGGGTACATTTAATTTTTTGAAAAGAAGCTGAAACAATTAGAAGCAGTAGGTGAAAATTAACAAAAATCCACTTTGAAAAAAGATGTATATCATAAATTTAATTTAGCTACTTAAACTGTGCCTATTAATTTACTTGTGCTTTTAACAAATTCAATAAATATATAAAATCTGATATCAAAAAGTATTTTTGTCCTCTGCAGGCTGAGTGTAAACATTAAACTGAAATCCACAGGCAAAAGGGGAACTATGTATTGGTGGAGTGAGGAAATTATGGATGTGACATTTACACATTTAAACATTTAAAATAATAAACAAAATTCTAAATCGTATTTTTCCAAAAGTTTTAACAAAACTCAAATTTTAAAAACAGGAACCTATTTTCCGCTATCTTCCTTTGAGTTGAGCATGCATAACAAAAATAATCCAAACCTATTCAATTTGCTAAAAGCTAAGGAGAACTGCAGTACTAGATTACTTTCAGGCTACGTGCTCATCTTTTTATTGTTTTCAATGACAGCCCTCTTTTTATTATGTTACTCATTTATTATTTGTTGTGTCGATCATGTTGGTCTGCACAATGGGCAGTCGTCAGTCTTTGTGAAAGGGCTCAACATTGAGATGGTTCTTTAAATGTTTGCTAAACATTTACAAAATGAAACGTCACATCCTTAGAAGACATTGGAGGAGGAGGTCTAAGAAATTGGAGGAGGAAGGCAATTGGAGGTCTGTGGATGTTTGAGCTACTACGTACATGTAGAGGGTAACAGATGTCTCTGATGGTGATGCTGAAGTTTCGCAGAGCTATCGTCTGTTTGCTGACCTTCATTGCTAGACGGACAGAGCATGGATGTAGCTGCTTGATACTCATGATGATGGTGTCCCTTTTGGTGAGTGCTGGGTGTTCACTGATTTCCTGTAATTCTCCCCATCTGCCATGTGCTCTGTGTTTGTGCTGTCTGGCGTTGAGTTCTCTTGCTGGTGTACCCAGTGTACACCTTCTGCATTCGCAGGGGATGCATCAGGTTCGGTCTTGGAGGCTTGCTTGTCCTGTGGGCTATTGTGGATCTTGTGGGTGTGGAAAGCCCGGATACCTTTGTCATTTAGGAAGTACTGGATGTGATGAGAACTGCCTGTGTTGGGCTGTGTAATAGGCGGGGTGAGCCTAGTGGGTTCGACCTTGGGTGTAGGGGACCCTTTGGTAGGTGAAAGACTTTGGATCTTGCGTCTTGACTGGATGAGCCTTGAATCTGTTGTGTTGTAGTGCTGTCTTGATATGGTAAAGTTGTTGCCGGCCAGGATTGTGGTTGCTGATGCAGGCTTCCCAGA